CAGGCTGCTTCTACTCATGGTGGAAAGTGGCAGACAGCGGGTGGATACAAGCAGATAACAAGGTGAAAGGAAGCAAGAGAGAGAGAGAGTGCAGAGGTGCTAGGGTCATTTAAACAACCAGCTCTCGCTGGAACTAATAGAGCAAGTGAACTCACTCATTAATCCCCCCACCTAGGGAGAGCATTAATCCATTCATGAGGGATCTGCCCCCATGACTCAAACAGCTCCCAACACTGTCACGTTGGGGATCAGATTTCCACATGAGTTTTGGGGGAACAACACATCCAAACTCTATCAGGCTTAATGTCCCTGCGTTATTTTTAAAAGGAAAATAAGAAAAAAGAGGTAAAAACTGCCACACTCAGCTTTTTTTTTAACACTTTGAACAATTAGTGTGGAATCAAACCTTCCATGGTATTTTTCTGGAGCCTGGACAGCATTTCTGAGGCTTCCTCCCTCTAATTACTCAGGAACCAATGCTGGGTAGGAATTTGTATTCATCTACACATAAACTTGCAATTCTAAATACCCTGGTTTTCAAAAGCTCTCTAAAAATGAGATGACCAAGGAACTGACCTAGCAGTCCCACCCAAACTGAAAGTGGGTGCAAATGTCACTAACCAGTCCAAATTAGTGAATTATCTAAATTAAGTATTGAAAAAACATTGGAATACCAGTAAGCTGGGCAATTTTCAAAACATAATGACACTGCACACACCCTTTACAGAGTGGATTTTTAACCCCAGATTGCGTGATAAGAACACACGTCCCTGGTCTAATGCCTGATCGTGGAGCCTACTGTAATGTAAAGTCCCCTCAGCAGGGGCAGTTCTCATTTCAATATGATGACATTTATGTGGTACATGGTGCTCCAACACTATTAGGCAACATCTCTCTTGACTTGTGGTCCTGGCATCACTGTCACAACTATGAGAAAATTGCACACAAACACCCCAAACACCCAGAGCTCATGATGGTAGGTAGCTCTTGGCTAACAGCATGTGAAAATTAACTAGACAACCAAACTAAACAAAGCAAGAACCCATGATCTCAGATGCCTCTGTTGCCCATCTGTCCGCTCTTAGAAGATAACCAATCACCCAGTGCCACCAACTCTCAAGTGAGGGGGTGAGAGGTGATGTCAAGATGAAGGGAAGGGCCGGCCCGGTGGCGCACTGGATAAGTGCGCCGCTTGGGAAGCGCGGCGGCGCTCCCGCCCGAGGGTTCGGATCCCACATACAGACCGGTTCCCGCTCACTGGCTGAGCGAGGCGCGGGGGCAACACCGAGGGTTGCGATCCCGTTGCCGGTCCCCGGTCCGGTACGGGGGCAACACTGAGGGTTGCGATCCGTTGCCGGACACGGAAAAAGACAAGACCAAAAAAAATAAAAAATAAAAAAAATAAAACAGTATGATCTTGGTGCATGAATAGTATACAGAAAAATACAACAGAGTAGAAAATCTAGAAATAGACCTGATTGTATATGGAAATTAAGTATAAAGATGGCACTTGAAAGCAGTGGAGAAAATGAACTATGTAATAAACTGATTGGGATAACTGATTAACTGTATAGAAAAAGATAAAATTGGTTCAAGTCCTTATACCACAGTAGGACAATTCCAGAGGGATCAGAGATGTAAACATAAAAACAAAATAAGTACTAACTGAATTCTGGTACTTAATAAGATAGTTTTTAACTATCTGAAAAGAAGCTCAGTCTTG